AAGATATGGACAACCTCTGCTGAGTGTAACATAGGGGAGAGGCTTCATCATCTTAGAAATATCTTGTTGCGTGTAAAATGACGGCTTGCCAAAATCTCCGGTGCCTTTGAACCAACCAACGATCTCCTTAAAACAATTTCATTCGCTTTATGTCAGCAGTGGATTAGAAGTAATCAAACCTGATTGGCATTAGTGAAAAAGAGCTGAGCCCATGTAAAGAACGGAAAACCGGCACCTTGAGGATATGTTGTCAAGAGTTGTAATGGAACATCGCGAGGCATTTCGCCGTATTCTACAACCTAAAATGGCCTATTTAAGAGTAGTTCACGCTGAGTGACGTAGTAATTTCCATAGCTACTTCAAAAGGAAAGTACTGTACAGTTTCATCTTTAGCATTCACAAGCCTTTATTTTCCAAAGTGCACCTTTGATTTTTGGCCTTCAAAGATGTGATTCACTTCCTCTTCTTTCACTTTTGATGAAAGAAAACGCTAAGCCAAAAGTGTTTTTGGTATAGCTGAAAGTTTAAAAATTTGTTCTCAACATGTGCATTCAGACTTAGCAATGTGCCTTGTAGTCGATCGAGAATTATTTGGAATCGTTACGCTACTAAAAGCGTTAGTGTCTGAGGCGGCATATACGGAATCTAAGGAATTGTGTAATAAATTTCAATAACAATGTCCAAGAATCTGTTTTACACATAGAGTTTAAGACGTATTCATGTATTCTTTCCTTTTTGGAAAGTGTTACATGTAGTGCAACTTTATCATGCATCGCTGCATATTATGTGCATTGATTGCGAAGTTATTAGCTCCAAAGCAAATGTTCAAACTTTATGAAAAAGGTCTGCTTGCACTGGCATTTCACTTTCGAATGAGCCGACCAAGATTTGTATTGTTGGTGCCTTGCTTAAGGATTTGCTTGTAAAGGAAGGACACAGCACAAACAATTGTTACTTACCTCAATGTTTGAATTTTCAGCAGCCTTTTTCTTTTCAGGAAGGGCTTCAGAAGCGTCAACCGTAACTCTAAAATACAAAAGTAGTCAAAGTTCAACCTACCATCACTTTGATATTACACTACAATAACGCTCTTAACTTCTGCAAAAAACGCAATTTCACGCGAAAATCCGTCGCAAGCATCGGATCGTCATAACTTCTTTCGAAATAGATATTTTCAAAAGCGGTATTACACTCAGCTCGTCTAAATGACTCTGTATGCCGTAACATCTAAGATATACGGTAGGTACGGTAGAAAGTTATATCGCATATCCGTCTGTCACGTTGCGTGGGTGTTAAATAACACCTCCTATACAAAGTTTTTCAAATTCGCGATTTTGACTTCCTATAGTATCTACAACACACTAAACCTCGGTTGTTACTGTAGCGTTGCATACCTCAAGATTAGTCTGAAGGGACTGAGTGTAATAGTATTTTTATTTTAAAAAAGAATCCATTTCGAAAGAAGTTATCACGATGCGACGCCTGCGGCGTATTTTTATTTGAAATCACGTTTTTCTTGCAGAAGTTACGAGCCGTATTGTATCTCGATGTGCTGAAGGGACATCTAGGTTTGAATCTTGCCCGCAATCAATTTTTCAAAAATTATTTTCAACTTCGTATCATCTAACAAACAACATTTAGTGGAGAAATGATCCACTGCTGATTTAGTGGACTTGTCAGTTTCAACGAGATTATTTTTATTTTTTTCACAAATAATATGAAGCTATACTGCTCTATGTTAGCTTCCACGATGTTCCAAGGGAAGCTAGCAAAAATTCTGTTGTTTGATAAAACATCTTTGTTAATCGTAGATTATAAAGTGAACCACTTACAGTGTAATAATAATCTGCATGGGTCAAAATAAGAAATTTGGTAGATCTACATACTTAACTTTTGCATCTAGGATAGAAATGCCGCTGTAATAGTGACAGCTT